CTAGGGCGGGGCTAAATAAGTATATAGTGAAAATTCATTATTTCTTTGAAAATCTTCTTCTCTGCTCCTGGGTATTAAATAAACCAACTAAGTACATAGGTATGATGAGTAAGAGTGCCTCTACCAAAATTGTGAATTTTATGGCCCCAGGGTCAGGGGTTCTGGTGTTAGGGTGGGGCTCTATTGATTATATAGTAAAAATAAATGATTTCTTTGAAAATCTTCTTCTCTGCTCCTAGGTATTAAATTAACTAAGTGCATAGTTATGATGAGCAAGAGTGCCTCTACAAAATTGTGAATTTTATGGCCCCAGCATCAATGGTTCTGGTTTATTGTTTATAAAGTGAAAATACATGAATTCTTTGAAAATCTTCTTCTCTGCTCCTAGGTATTAAATAAACTAACTAAGTACGTAGTTATGATAAGCAAGTGTTCCTCAACCAAGATTGTGAATTTTATGGCCCCAGGGTCAAGGGTTCTGGTGTGTGTGTGTGTGGGGGGGGGGGCTCTATTGATTATAAAGTGAAAATATGTGAATTCCTTGAAAATCTTCTTCTCTGCTCCTAGGTATTATATAAACTAACTAAGTGCATAGTTATGATGAGCAAGTGTGCCTCAACCAAAATTGTGAATTTAATGGCCCTATTATCAAGGGTTCTGGTGTTGGGGGGAGGGGGGGGGGCTCTATTGATTATATAGTGAAATTACATGAATTCTTTGAAAATCTTCTTCTCTGCTCCTAGGTATTAAATAAACTAACTAAGTGCATAGTTATGATGAGCAAGAATGCCTCTACAAAAATTGTGAATTTCATGGCCCCAGCGTCAATGGTTCTTGGGAGGGGGGGGCTTTATTGATTATAAAGTGAAAATACATGAATTCTTTGAAAATCTTCTTCTCTGCTCCTAGGTATTAAATAAACTAAGTAAGTGCATAGTTATGATGAGCAAGAATGCCTCTTCTAAAATTATGAATTTCATTGCCCCAGGGTCTGGGGTTCTGGTGTTAGGTTGGGGCTCTATTGATTATATAGTGAAAATAATTAAATCTTTGAAAATTTTCTTCTCTGTCTCTGGATATGAAGCAGATGAACTACCTATATAGTTATGATGAGCAAGGGCCCTAATCTTGCAGAATTGTGAATTTCAAGGCCCCAGGGTCGGGGGGGGGGGCTCTACTTATATACTGGAAATTAAATAATTGTTTGAAATCTGGTCCTTTGTATTTATAAAACATTTATTTACTTATTGATAGGCAATTTTAAGGGTGCCTTTTAAAAATTTGTGCAACCTAGGGTCAGGGGTTTATGTCAGAGTGTTAGGGGCACTACTGATTATTGATGAATATTACTGATTAGTTGGAGTGCATTTTTGTTCCCCTACCCTGCGTATGGGTATTCAGTAACCAAGCTAAGCAACTGCTAAGTTTATTGTTATGATGATCAATGGTGCCTTTTCAAAATTTTGAATACCATATAGCATCTGGCTTAAAACATGAATCAAATTCAATACACTGTAACTGAAAAGTTGTTGCATAATGCTCAGGTGACCTATAAGGCCCGTGGGCCTCTTGTTATAATGTCATTATCTCCCAGCTAATATTTGTCATTGTCCCCTTATACAAAACTAGGGGAAGAAATCCAAGACCATTCTACTTTTGTCATGTTCGTAGTGCAAGGTTGTCACTAGGTTCTGGGGGCCCAGGGAATTTCCCTGCCTATGATGATGAAATACCCATGTTATTTTGGTAATTCTCTTAAATTCTCTAATAGGGGGAGAAACACCAGATCCCCTTTTACTTTTTAATTGCCCCCTCCTATTCTAATTCTTAATGCCCCCTTGTATTTCAGTTCTTACAGTCAGACCAGAGTCCGTGCACATGCCATTATAATAGTACAAATTTTTCCTGGATTTCTTGGTCATGGCAAAGAGCACACAGCAAGTGTGACCAGTTGGCAGGGGATGCTCACTCCTCTATGGCACCTGATCCCACTTGTGATATATTGATCTGATATAAATTTGTATTTTTTTATTGACTTTTTAATGGACTTTTGAGCTTGAATACTGTATGTTATCTCCATATATTTCATTCAGTGTTGTACTTTTAATTATGAGAAAGGGGGTGCAGGTACTTGTGTACTTGTCATGAACACCTACAGCACACATTTGAGGTTTTTTTTCTCTTGTCTGAAGAGCTCAAGAAGTTGTGGTTAGTTATGAAAGTATTTGAACTTTGATCTTTGTTATGAATTGTAAATGCTTTGAATGGGCATATAGTGCTAGACATCATGGATATGGTTGTAGGACATACACAAAGTGTAGGGAAAAGCCTATTCATTTTGAGGTTGAAATGATCCAGGTTCTTTCAAAAACACATGCAAATATTTCAGAAATTATGCGTTTAATAGTAAGAATAGAAAAATTATAATTCTGAAGTCTATCTATATTTTAAAAGTGTAAACTCAAGATGATCACTGTTCTACATGTATTAATTATATTAGTAAGAATATTTTAAAAAATATATCAATTAGCATGATTAGTAGATCTACTTGAAGTACTTTTTTTCCCCTCATGAGTATTAAGACAACTTTATATGCATCACACATTCACTTTTTAAACTTCCTGTTAAATATGTCATATCCTGCCTTAAATTTTCTTTGGATAAAAGATATTTGTACTTATAGAAAGGGAATGTAAGTGCATCATCAGTGTTTCCGTATAATATTGAATATGTATTGTTGTTCATATGGAGAATGTCCTATCTTTGGCAAGTGGATTTAGTCATATTAATGGCCTTGATTCTTGATTTGGCAGAGGTAATATATATAAAGGCTGATTTAAGGTTACAACTTGGGGGAGGGGGACAGCTAATGCAAAATTCAAGACCTCTAGGGCTGTCAAGAGAGAAGCCTGGTTGGGCCCAAGGGTAGAAGGGGAAGGGGGGGGGCTAAAAGCTTCGGGATTGTAGAACTTTTGCTGCACCTCGGGAAATAGTCCTGGTCTTGGGAAACTGGAATCTTGCGAACCCCCTCAATGATATACTTTATTAACTGTATATTATAACATGATGATCTTGACTTCCTTATTTATGTTTATCTGCCACAGATATAAAAACAGTCAAACCTCCATATCTTGAACCCCATGGGACAGAGAAAAAACTTCAAGATATCCAAGGGTTTGAAATATCTAGGGTAAAATACTTAAAAAATAAACTTACAAATCATTTTTACATGTTTAACATATTCGTTGCAGGGGTTCAAAATTCCTCAAGCCCGACGTCCCGGACTAACCAATTCCGGATCCGGACTCGGCATTTAGAATTCGCCAAAGTCCTGGGACTTGGCTATGTTTCTTGTTTATCTTTTTTTATAAGTTAAAAAAATGATCTTAAAGCTAAAAAAAAAAGCAAATTCTCAAATGTATTAGGTAAAAATGTGGGTTTGTGGGCGTTAAAATACCCATAAAACATTACGAACGTTTCGAAAATACAATTCGTCTTTTTATTTTCTGTTGCGGTTAGACTCTTGCTTTTAAGCAATTCCTCATGTTTCCTCCTATATGACAAACGAGTTTGTTTAATTTCGGTTTTAGCTGTGACTAACAGCACATTCTAATTTCTACTTATTGTAACAGATGGTTTATTCAGTAGTGAGTATTTGTAAAAGTTATTGTAATGTACCAATAATCTATCAGTCTGGTATTGTGTTAAAATACTGATGACAGTTTATGGAGGAAAAATAAAACATATATATTAATGCATATAGTCTTTATTCATTCAACGCAACAAATGAAAATAAATTATAAGTAACATAAATTTAATGATGTATAGGTAAATATGGACTCTGAAATTTCTTCCTCGGACTTGCCTAAAATTTACTCTTCAAGTCCTGGACTTGACCATGACAAAAAAATTTTGAACCCCTGTCGTTGTTTTCAAGATAATTTAGTGTTTTTGATATGAAAGATTGACTGTATTATAATATTATATCATGATTTTGTGTAATAATTTACATGGAGGGCTGGGATGATACTGACCTGGTCATGATAGCTTAAAGAAATGATATGATCCATGTATCCCGATTCTTTGGAAGTCAATAAGTCAATAAAAAAGTGGAAAATGGGTTTTTGATCCATGGACTAAACTTTTTATGTTAAAGAATTTGACTCTCTGACATTTTCTTTGAGAATTAGAATCAGGTATTATAAGGGTAAGCATACTGTATATTTTGAAAATGAAAATCGTGGACATCAGTGATGCAAGTGATTGTTCAATCTGTATTTTTCACTTTTCAGTAGACAACTTTTGAGGCAGTTGTTGAAAAAAGAATATATGAAGAACATATGTAGTGAAGCAATTATATGTACTTCTGGTACATTTACCACCTAGTTCAGAGTAATTGAAACAAGAAGTTATATTTTATATACCATGTATACTCAAGTGTGTAATTAAGGAAAGGATGGCTTAGAAAATATACAAGATTTGTTATTTTGTTAATTTTTAAATGTTTTTTATTATTTCAGAACTTGGAGATGACAGATTTTGACACCTAAAGTAAACAGTGAAGTGGCAGAATTTTCTCTAAGAGTACGCTGAAGCTGTAACAATGTGACTTGTAACATTATATTGGGATTGCATATTGTAAGCTTTTAAAGGTAAATTGTATTACAGTCATTTAGAATTTCAAAGAGGTAGCTCCTTCCCCTTTTAAATCCTGAGATGAGAGAGAGAGAGAGAGAGAGAGTGAGGTGTTATTTTTCACCTTTCCAAAGTAAATTCTCTCTTGTCTATGACCAATTTTGAATTTGCAAGTGTTATCCCCCTTTTCTGATCCCTTAATTTGATATAATAACTTGTGACATTGTTAGAGAGAGAGAGAGAAAGAGAGAGAGAGAGAGAAATTGAAATCAGGTATATTGTTTTCATCTTTTTAAAAACAAAGAACTTCTAAACTTTTATTTGATTTTGATTTAATCATGTTTTTATTCATGTTGTAGGAACATCTTTTATTTGACAAATCTTCATCAAACTTGGCAAGATGGGTGAGACTTTTGCACAGTGGAATCTCCTTCAGCTCTCGTTTATTGCAGTGTTTCCAGCGTATCTAGCCTACATAAGGATTGTCAATGGTAATATATTTAAACACTCTTTTAGCGATCATCATTATAATGAAATGATGCATTGGGTGAAGTCATAATTTCATTCCCTGGAACTTTGTTAACCTAACCTACTATGAAGTCACTAATTTTTATGTGGAGTTAATTTTTGTTGTTTACAGTGTATGGAAAGACTCATGAATTAATAATCACCACGAAATGAAAAATTTCATTTTAAAGTACTACTTAACATTCCCCAACTAGTTACTATGAAATCAAATCCCCACAAACCAATATTTTTCCTCAAACCTTGAAAATTTGACCCCATGAAAAATAAGTGATTTTACAGTAGCTTGTAAGTGAAAGTCTTTCATTAAAACCTTGATAAGACATTCATGTTCTGATTTGAACATGTTGAAGTACTCAATATTTTGACGTCACTCCAGTGTACAGTTGAACATTGGTACCTCAAACATAATGCATATGAATATCATGCTGTATTTTAACCTGAATGTCTGAAATCCTCAGTAATCTCTAAGTTTTTTTTTATTGTTGTTATCAAATTTAAGGTAAAGAGGTTTGAATATACTAGTACCTAAGATTTTCTTTTAAGAATGACCCTGGTATCGTTTTGTGTCTTTACCAATGTTACTTGATTTCTTTTAGGAATGGCTTTGGTGTCCTTGTACGTCTACTTATTTGTCTTGTGTATGCCGGCCATGCTGATTCAGATGAAGCTGGGAGGATACAATCAGAAAGGCATTGTGGGATTGCTCTCCCAACACCTGCCAATTAGTAAAGGTAAACTGACATCCACCAATGAGTTTAGTTCAAATCAACATCGTGAACATGCAAAGCTTTTTAGCTCACCTCAACGAAGTTGGGGGAGCTTATGTAATACCCTCGGTGTCGGCGTCGGTGTCGGTGTCGGCGTCGGCGTCCCAGGTTAAGTTTTTTGGAGCAGTTTTCTTTTTAAGTACTTCTATGTCCTATATTGATTAGACATGCATGGAAGATGGTTCTAGTGTGTTTCATTGTACCAGTCAAAGTTTCAGATGCTGCAATTTCAGCGAAGGAATGACCAGGTTAATGTTTCTGGAGCAGGTTAACATTTTTGGTGTAGGTTTCATTTCCAAGTAACTATAAGCCCTATGTTGACCAAACTTGCATGGATGGTACATCTAAGGATGCATACTAACAGGCTTGCTTCGGATGCTGAATCTGACCTACATTTTCCGGTTGAGTGAACAGGTTAAAGTTTTTGGTGCAGGTTTCATTTCCAAGTATAAGCCCTATGTTGACCAAACTTGTATGGATGGTACATCTAAGGATGCATACTACTGGGCTTGCTTCAGATGCTGAATCTGACCATCATTTTCCGGTTGAGTGAACAGGTTAAAGTTTTTGGTGTAGGTTTCATTTCCAAGTAACTATAAGCTCTATATTGACCAAACTTGCATGGATGATACATATAAGGATGCATACTACTGGGCTTGCTTCAGATGCTGAATCTGACCTACATTTTCTGGTTGAGTGAACAGGTTAAAGTTTTTGGTGCAGATTTCATTTCCAAGTAACTATAAGCCCTATGTTGACCAAACTTGCATGGATGATACGTCTAAGGATGTATACTACCAGGCTTGCTTCGGATGCTGAATCTGACCTACATTTTCCGGTTGAGTGAACAGGTCAAAGTTTTTGGTGCAGATTTCATTACCAAGTAACTATAAGCCCTATGTTGACCAAACTTGCATGGATGATACATCTAAGGATGCATACTACCAGGCTTGCTTCGGATGCTGAATCTGACCTACATTTTCCGGTTGAGTGAACAGATCAAAGTTTTTGGTGCAGGTTTCATTTCCAAGTAACTATAAGCCCTATGTTGACCAAACTTGCATGGATGATACATCTAAGGATGCATACTACCAGGCTTGCTTTGGATGCTGAATCTGACCATCATTTTCTGGTTGAGTGAACAGGTCAAAGTTTTTGGTGCAGGTTTCATTTCCAAGTAACTATAAGCTCTATATTGACCAAACTTGCATGGACGATACATCTTAGGATGCACACTAATGGACTTGCTTCGGATGCTGAATTCGACATACATTTTTCAGTTAATAGACCAGGTAAAAGTTATGGGTGCAGGTCTATTACCAAAAAACTATAAGGCTTATATAACATTGTATAAACCAAACTTGCACAAATGTTGCATCAAGAGATGAAAACTCTCAAATTTGCTTCAGATGCTGGATTTTGATTACATTTTCATGAAGAAGAACTAGTTTAAATTTTTTATGTAGGTCTATTTCAAAGTATCAGATCAAAATTGCTTAAATATTTTCATTTTTGGAATGTACACTTTTTGTTGGTTAATTGTGTGACTTTGCCTTACTTAAAGACAACATTCGTTGAGGTGAGCTCTGTAATCTCTGATTACCTATGTTTTTCAAGCTCAAGTTTATTTTATTCACCCAATCCAAAAATGGTACATGAGCTCCAAATAATATATGTACACAATGTACATGTGTATAAACTGGCTTTCAATAAGATGCGATGGAAAATTGTTTATCATTGTTTCAATGACTGGAATTAATCACTTCAAATCTGATAATTAGCAAAGTAAGTATTTGGAAATAATTCTAAAACAGTCTTTTCAAATAGATAAATTCAAGACTTTATTTCAAAATTAGTGAAAACTCAATACTTCTGAAGGTACAGTGTATTTTTATATACCCATGGAGATGAAGTAAACATTTACTGTCGAATAAAAGTTCACTTCTTGCCACTTGATTAAGAAAATGTAAATTTAAAACATCTGCTTCGGTAAGTGAAGTTGACTTTGGCCAGTGAATGCAAATTAATGTGAGTGCAAAGTTAATACTGTACCAACTAGGTTGGTAAGTTTAACAATATTTCCACGCATGAAGGCAAGGTTAACATCAACCAAGAAATATAACTTCAGTCTTCACAACAATTCTTTTCAGCACATGCCCTTCGGGCAGGTATACCTATCATTTTAACCCAGCCCACCGAAATTTGTACATGCCTTACTCAAAATTCATTCATATGGCAGAGATGATTGTGCAACAAAAAATTAACTATAAGAGCAGTGTTTCTGTTTTTAAGTTCTTTCGATCTTAAGTTTAAATTGTTTTCAGAGTTTTAAATCAACCATGGCCTGTCTGTCTGCCATTTTCGTATGCGTTTTTGACTTTTTGTTGACAACTTTTGACTCGCATGTGGGTCTTTTGTTGGCTGATTAGCTGAACCGAATATCAGAAATAGCATCATAACAGCAGTCCACTGCACGCGGCATCAATAAACATATTGTAATTTAGCAACAAACTTTGAGAAGACAAATAGGTTTAAATCAAACACTTAAATGATTACGATTGACATATATAATTTCCGTTTTATCAGATCGTATTAAGAATGTAACGAAAGACGAATGTAGACTGACAATTCATCTTAAGACATTACATAGCAAGTTTAGATGAATAACTAGGGTTCGACAAAAGAAATGACAAGTAAACATTGTGAATCGAAAGAAAATTCACACATGCCCTTTGGGCATGTAAATTGAGAATTTTCACATGCCCGCTGGCAAATTTACCAGGTCCCGGGCATGGGACACCCAGGTTATTTCGAAGACTGTAACTTTATAGTTATGGTCATCGTAGCAACCACTGCTTTCAAAAATATACTATAAACTACCGGGGATTTTCCACCTTTTGAATTAAGGTAGGACAAAACACCCGTGGATTCTATTTTAACCCATTTCTTAAAAAAGTACTGGAGGAAAAAAAATAATATTCCTATACTGACAACAATGAATGATCCCTGAAAGAAAAATAATAAGTTTTGGCAAATTTGCGTTATATTTTGTGAAAAAATCAGAGAATCCTATATATTGGTCATTTGGGAGCTTACATTTTGGAATGTGTTTACGCTATCTAAGTGCAATAAACAAGCATGTATCAGTCACTTATAAAATGCAGTGCAACTTTTGTTCCCTAAATAGTAGAGGGCTGATATTTGGACACATATATAAGGAGTCTCTATTCTTTATATGTACTACAAAGGTCAAGGTCGTATCAAGAGGTCAAAGGTCAAATATTGTGACGTCATCTACTGAATCTTTTAGTTTTTTGCCATTGATTTTTCTTAAATCACCAAAATATCTGAAACCACCGGTTCAATTTTCTTTATTTTTACACATTTTATTCTAAGACCCATTTGAATCATTCTGTTAATTTTTTGTAAAAATTGAATGATACATTTTCTCTTAAGAAAACTGAAACTGTCGGATATTTACATGTGAATTTTCAGTTTCTGACACAATGTATGTCCTTTTTTACTTGATATTTTACACAATTTTTCCAGTATCAATGTGACTTACTGATTTAAAGTAGCAAAAAGGTTATCTTTATTAAAAGTATAACACAAATTTGCAATAGATCAATAGAAAATTCTAAAATAAGGCTCATTCTCAAGTCGAATGTCTGATTTCACAAACTTCTTACAGGGGTCTGAAAGACTATGTGGGCAAAAAATGTGCGATTGAATTTCTTTCATATCATACATAAAGAGAGATTCTGTATCCAAGAACAAAATATCAAAGTTTCAGAAAAATTGAATTTGAGGAAAAATTTGACCTATCTATTTGCCCCTACCTTAAGGTTAATTTTCGTATTTTTTTTAGGAGTGGGCGTGGCATTATTGGTTGACCTTTTCCTGACCTGTTTATATGTTGCCCCATTGGTCTGTCATTTTGGAATGTATGCCATCATCTCAATGATTGAGCAGCCTTATGTATGGAGCAGTTGTGACAATGAGTGGAATACACTAAACTGTGCTGATATCCACACAAAAGTGTAAGTATGAAAGTGGATATACCAAACTGTGCTGATATACACCAAACTGTGCTGATATCCACACAAAAGTGTAAGTATGAAAGTGGATACACCAAACTGTGCTGATATCCACACTAAAGTGTAAGTATGAAAGTGGAATACACCAGACTGTGCTGATATCCATACAAAAGTGTAAGTATGAAAGTGGATACACCAAACTGTGCTGATATCCACACAAAAGTGTAAGTATGAAAGTGGATATACCAAACTGTGCTGATATCCACACAAAAGTGTAAGTATGAAAGTGGAATACGCCAAACTGTGCTGATATCCACACAAAAGTGTAAGTATGAAAGTGGATACACCAAACTGTGCTGATATCCACACAAAAGTGTAAGTATGAAAGTGGATACACCAAACTGTGCTGATATCCACACAAAAGTGTAAGTATGAAAGTGGATACACCAAATTGTGCTGATATCCACACAAAAGTGTATGTATAAGAGTGGATATGCCATACTGTTCTGATATCCATACAAAAGTGTTAGTATAATAATTGTGGATAGGACAAGCTGATATGATACTGATTAAGGAGTATAAAAGTAGAACATAAAGGCTTGATATTCTCTTCATTAAGCTGTATTGACATCCACAGAAAAGTAGAAGGATGGCATTTGATAGACAAATTTATAATTTCCTTGCTAGAATTTAAATTTAAAAAATCATATAAATCATTTAATTAAAACAAAGTCCCTTAACTTAATCCGCTGATTTATTTTATCTGTACGATGTTTCCATTTTCTAGAGTTGATGGAAAAAATACTGTATGTTAACGAAAGTGGATGGAATCTGAAACTTTTAATTTCATTTAATTCATCTGAACTTTTCACTTGTGTAAGGGTCACACTAATATTTTTGACAAAGTACATACAAGATTCTTTTCAAACAAATAGAAAATTATCCCCTATAGACTTTTTTCTTAAATACATATTATTTTTTGTCCATCTGTGATATTTGCTTTCCATGATCATTGATGATATAAAAAAAAATGTCTTTTGTTTGCAGTGTAACAGGAACAGATAATGGAAATACCTACGAATTTAAAGGAGTGGGACAGAATTCAAAAACTACACCGGAGTTAGAATTCTACCAGTAAGTATTCATTTATAGTAAGTATTCATTAATAGTAAGTATTCAATAAACATGAAAATCAACATCTGAATATCATGTAAATGTTGTCTAGATCTGTAATGTTGTATTCGAGTTTTTCACAATGTTGCTACAATTAAAGTTTTTAAGATTTTTTTTATTATATCATGTGAAAGGGTAATCTTTCTATTTTCTACCATTTCAGATTTAAAATGCTAACATGAGCCTCAAACTATTTGAATATTGTAATAATTAAATTACTTGAGGAATTGACTTGAAAATTGCAGAATGGAAGGGTTGTTTCTAATTGATAAGCAGGCAAAAACACATTTTAAATCAAAGTTATATGTTTTGAAATTTTTTTTTTCATTTGTATAATGTCTTTCAGTACTATCAGTACTTTGATTCATATTTCCCTTTTTTTCAGTAATGCCTATCTACAGCTCTCAAGCTCTGTCAGTAATATAACGGGGTTTCCCATCTGGACGTTTACATCACAGCTTCAGAATGTTGGGATTTCCCTACTTCCTGTTACGCTGGCCGTCCTCTGGATACTGGTCTTTCTCTTCACGGCCTTTGGAGCACGGGTTTCTGGATGGGTATGAATTTGCATAAAAATGAAAGAAAACAGCAAATTATTGTTTGATAGATAAAAAGTTTTAATGCAACAATGTGCATGTGTTGGTTGATAAATCATGTAGAACATGGACGTATATTACTCAAAGTCCAAAATTTATATTAAGCTTCAGTTTTGTTCAAATCATACCCCCCCCCCCCCTCCTTTTAGGAGTAGGTCGGGACGACTTTTGAATTTAAATTTTTCAATACTTAGCCAATTTTTGTTTGTTCCTTAGCCACATTGCTCAGGTGAGTGATATGGCCCATGGACCTCTTGGTATTATTTATTTAATTCATATAAATGCTACATCCTTTCAGATTTTGTTTATACTGGGGCCTACCTTTGTTGGTATGCTGTTGGCTGTGCTGGGTTACGGCTATAGCAATCTAGAATCGGAGCACTCTAACAGTTTCCTGCTACGGTTCTATAACCTGGACTTCAAAGGCTTCCTGCAGCCCGTGGATACCAGAGTACTGGTTAATGTAGGTTTACATTACTCTAAAAGTACTTTTTTCAAATGATATTAATTTACGCTATGTATGCGGCTCTCATAAATTTTCTGATCTTCAAAGTTTGATTATCTGTATAGATGATCATAGTTTGAATAATTCTGTAAAATGTTCATAGTTGAATAACTACTCAAACTTTGAATAACTAAAATTTTAAAAGTTTGAATAACTCTGTAAGATGTTCCTACTTTAAACAACTCTGTAAGATGTTCACTGTTTCAATAACTACATACTATGCTCAAAGCTTGAATAACAGTTACTGTAAGATGTTCAAATTCTGAAAAAACTATGTGAGATGTTCCTAGTTTGAATAAATCTGTAAGATGTTCATACCTTGAATAACTCTGTAAGATGTTCAAAGTTTGAACGACCACCTGTATGAACTCCTTTCAGACTGTCAGTGAGGGCTTTGATTTGTTGATGAACTCCTTACCTGTGTGGACAGCCATTCCAGTGACGATGGGGAAATTTACAGGAAAGGGAAAAATTAGTCGAAACCTGTAAGTTTTACACTGATGACATCATCTAAAAAAAGGTAAAATGTTAGCAAATATTTTAATTTTTTGAACATGCCAAAAAATAATAGCATAGTCATTAAGTACACTGTAAAACACATAGTGTAATGCCAAACTTTTGATTCATATAAACTTCAAATCTGACTTGTTCATTATCAGTGATAATGAACTAAATGATTATCTAGTGATATCATAAAAACGACTTAAAAATAGTACAAGAAAAATCAATGTGTGAATCCATTATAAATTTGTATTCTTCATAACTATTAAGTTTAATTGTAATTCCGATTGATGGGGTGTTGTTGCTAATTCAATTTGACTTATACACACAGCTGATTTACAGGGGCTGGTGGCTAATGATATCTGACCTATACATGTATTTCTCTGTTTATAGGGGCTGGTTGCTAAGGATATCTGACTTGTATTTCTCTGTTTATAGGGGCTGGTTGCTAATGATATCTGACTTATATTTCTATATTTATAGGGACCTGTTGCTAATGATATCTGAGCCATATTCTGTATTTGTAGGGGCTGGTTGCTGGTCATTATAACGTATGCCCTGGTAATACAGATACCCCAACTGGCAATGGTGCCGTATATAGGGAACCTGTTGGCCAAATCCCAAGTGAAGAACGTCTTAAAAGATGACGCATTTAATGGTAGGTAAAATAAAGTTCTTCTTACTTTTATATATTTTATAGGAATGTTTGTGTGTTTATTGCAGATAAAGCTAGAAAAATGTTGTGGAAGCTCTGGGTTATTAGCATGATAAAGCTGTATACCTGTACTAATCATGCTAATGAGTACTTCGTATAAGAAGACTTTTTTTTGTGAATATAGAGGAAAGAAAGACAACTCTTTCATGTATTTGGAATATGAAGAAACAAAATTTGATTTTGTTGTTGTTGTAAATGTGTGTTTAATAGTCTTGATTATTTTGATAAAGATAACCCACCCCTAACCCCCAAAAACAAAACTTAAGAAAAAATGAAAGTTTCAAGGGGAAATTTCTATAAGCAGGAAATGCGTGTTGATTATTCTTATAAAACAGTAAAAAATGTTTTTACTTTACCTGAAAATGTGTTTTAAAATAGGAGAGAGTTTCATTTTGTTCTTCATATAAAAAAATAGAAATATGATATTTTAAGAAAGACTTTTAAAAAAAATCATTGAGTTTAAATTTTGTCTGAATTTACTGGAAAATTCAACTGCATTTTAAAAGGAAAAAAAAGAAGGCTTTCAACCAGGATTTGATATTTTTTCATTTCAGAAATGAAATTTCTTTTTTTTTTTCATGTGTTTGAGATATCAACATTACTCTTCTGTGTTGGAGATAAAAAAAAATACATTAACTTTAGTTGACATGTTTTAAAATATAGTTATCTTGTTTTCCTTGAATTATGGTATGTACGGAGATTTAATATCATTTAATGTGATTCATTGCACATGTATCAAGTTTAAAGGTTTTTTTAAAAAGCATATAAAGCATTCATATTGTTAAATTTGAAATGACATTATTTTACCAATTGAAAATCCTTTTCTGGTGATATGTACAAGCACTTTGCTATTTTTTCTTTGATTATTTATTGTCAGTGTGATTGTGCTGCCATTAATTATTTTTGTTCTGTTTTCGGTTTTGTCTTTTAGTCACCTCAAGGGGAATGAGTAAGTCTTTGATGCTATAAATAGCACAGCACGTTATCATCTTCACGCTATTTTTAATGTTTGTTTTTTTTGTTTATATCAGCAGCGTTTATCATATGTTTCATGCGTTGAGGATACTTGTAAATGTGTAACAAATGTCTTCAAAATGTTCAAAATTCAATTTAAAATTTTTTTTTACTTTGTCTAAAGAACATCTGTAATTATAATAGCAAGCGCAGCGAGCTTTGCAAAGCGACGCTTGTCACTGCAAGCTCTTAAAGCAAGGCTTGGGCAAAGAGAAAATTTCGGACTTTGCAAATTGATCCAACCAAATTTTTTTCCTCAGTTACTTTGGACCCACAATGCATCGCTTGTTTTAGCTACATTCTCATGAGAATAATGGCAAAGGTTCAACAAAAAGTTAACTTGCGTTGACTTAATGGATATATATTGAAGATAAATTAATAAACAAAATGTTCTTCATTAACTTTCAGCATTGTTCAGGCTTTTTCTTGGTAATGCAACTTAGATACGAAGTTGTGTAACGTCAGAATCTAGATGCACCAAATGTCACGTGCGGTTTGAGGAGCCCAATCTAAATTAAAACAATAGTTCTAAGTATCTGCACTCGACCTCAACATATTATTTTTAACTAGGATTTTAAAAACACCCTTTTCCCTCCCCAAGAACAGATGCATATTCTTTTTTTCCCGACTGGTTCAAATCCTGGTTGAGACACATAATTACTTTTAAAAAGTATTAAAAGTAGTGCAATTTACTTGCAGTAAATTTTTTTCCACCCTCATTTTGGAAGAAAGTTTAAACATAAATGAAATTGTCTGTATTTCTTGTTGTACTTTAGTGTGTGATTCATTTGTAACTGTGTTAGCATAGAAGTCATTTCATTAGCAAAAAGTACTCTTAGTCACAAAAGATGTCTCATTCTTTTTGTTTTGTTTTGTGTTTTTACAAGTTCATCTTTTTACAGAAAATTTCAGAGGCCTTTAAAGATATATTTAAAAGCCAGGGCATGTACGAAATTTGAGGGACATCTGATATTGATATATATTGGAAAATCGTGTAACCCTTTTGTAATTTTTTTTTTATTTTGGTTCAATTTCATTGTATATAAACCAGAACATCAGTGCTTGCTGCATTTGTTTTACTATAATCAAGCACCAAACAGAAATTACATATAATGATAGCATCTAGCATATTGTAATTATTTTTGCAAGCATGCTTTAGGGCGTGCTTCCATTGGACACAAAAGCTACTAACCAATCAGCAGGGCTAGAAATAATAAATAGCTGGCTTGTTATTTGAGCAAGTTAAATTTAACCAGTTCACAAGAAACATACTGGTTTGACCAGCATGATTTTGTTTTAGTATTTTTAACATGTTGAAGTAAAACACCATGACCTACGTGACATACAATATTTACAATATAAATTATTGTAAAAAAAATTATTCTTTTTAATTTGGCCCTCAGGGGCTGACAAATAGATTTTTAAGGCACTTGTCCAAGGGCAAGTACATGGTCAAAATTCACTTGCCCTACCTGAATTTTTGCTTGCCCTGACATGAGCTAATACTGTATTCTTATATATTTCATAACAAGAGGAAGACAAATACTAAGTAGATCATAAAAGCCCCTATGCCCAGCTTTAAATCTATGAGTTACATATTGATTTTACTTTTGATAAGTTACTTGCCCACGGGCAAGTGGTTGATAAAATTCCACTTGCCCACCCCTAAAATTCACTAGCCCCGGGCGTCGGGCAATGGGATTTGTCATCCCCTGGGCCCTGGACGGGTGCAAATTCAATAAATATAATATCTCCATTTATATTCTCAGCAGTTACTTAATCAGTAGTGCTGACATCATATCAAAGATTTAGTGTATACATAGGTTCTCATTTGGCTGGATGTTGGTCCAAAAAAAATCCCCAAACTTTGAATCTTGCCCTTAACTTCTATATAAAAGTTGCTAGGGCTTCCATATTTTATATGTGTATTTTTGTGATCAATTCTTGTGAGGGTTCCAACATATTTTACCTAAACATTATGACCTTTGGGTTTAATCTTTTTTTTTGAAAAACGAACTTAGATTTACTTCCCACATGGAAGACCATTTTAACCAAGGTCCTGTGTTCCAGGTGCTGGCACAAAAAAAGTCCCTCGCTGTTCACTTAGTGCCCAATATAGGTATAAATCTCGAGTGGTGATGCCTCTTGAAAGATGAGCAAGAACCAAAACTTTAATTAGGGCCCCGCAAGGATTTGCGGGTGCCCTATAGTAATCACTCTGTCCGTCCGTCTGTCACTCTTCCGTCCACAAATTTTCTGTTTTTTTCTAATAACTTTTTTTTATGGTTGCCCAATCAAGTTCAAATTTGGTATGGTAGTTCAGTAAGCATAAATACATATTTTGATGCTAAGTTTGGTTCTCTATGTCTTCTGGTTTGGAGCTGGGTGTGGTGTAACTGTGTTAGATTCCTTAATTATGCATAAAAATGAATGGGCAACTTTTTTTATGGTTGCCCAATCATCTTTTTACAAATTTGGTACCGATAGTTCAATAGGCAGAAATACATATTTTGATGCTAAGTTTGATATATATATGTCCCCTGGTTTGGAGCTGGGGTGGTGGGGTAGATTCCTTAACTTTATATAAGAATTGCATTGGCAAAGGGAGATAACTGCTGAAGATGTTCCCATTGTAAACTGAATGCTGCTAGGAGTCCATTGGGATTAATTAGCTTTCCTCCTGAAGAAAATCCAGAGCATTATCTTTATCTGTCACATTGAGATTAATTACCACCTCTGTCTGCAAATGAAGTTTGTTTTGAAGTTAAATCAATTTGGAATGCTATGAACACTCTGAAATGTGGATTTAATTATAAATTTTGATTATTTATTTTTTTTTGATAGTTATGATTTCATTGAATTCTAAAAAAAAGAAATAGATTAAAGAAGATTTTTTGATTTACTTTTTTTCACTTTTTTTTTTAATACATTAATTCAAGACAATATTATTAATTTTTAATGTAGTTGTATAAAAACCCCATTCTATCATTAATACTGAAAAAAGTTCTTATTGTAAATTTAGAAGAAAATGATGAGAGAGGTACAATTAATCCCTTGGGATTAATTATCTAGCCTGCTGCAGAAAATTTAGTAGGATTTTCTTTATCTGTCACTTTAAGATTAATGAAAACCTTTGTCTGCAACTGCTGTTTGTTTGAAGTTAAGGTCAAGCCTTCATGATATTTGCATTCATTGAAGGCAGGCATTTTATATAACACAAGCTTCATAATTCTTAAATATACATTGTACATTCAATATTAAGTTGTTCTTTACTGCCTAATGTAAATACTAGGATATTGTTTTCAGGTTTTTGAATATTCAGAAATTATCTTGAAATTTTAAGAATACAGTTGCTGTTGCTTATTCTTTGTACATTTATTAATCATTCTGTAAGCTGCACCCTTTAATTCTACCCCATGGCGGGGCCCTTGCTGACTGGTCAGTTTTCTAGTTAGACATAAACCTCAGCCATATCTTCTGAAGGTTGATATTAGGACTCTCATCTCTTTCATCTTGACACTCACTAGACACTTTTTTGGGCAACAACATTTGACCTTGATCTAGGGTTTGACCTATTTTAATTTGAAAACATTAAAATTATCTATAATTTCTGAATGGTTGATAATAGGGTTTTCATATTTTGTTTGTAATTATTTCTTGTGGCAATACCTTTTTGTGGCTAAGTACCAAAATTTTTGTCCTATTGACCTTAGAGCTAATTGACCTACTTTTAAAAAAATTATGTTTGACCAGGAGCTGGTATATGGTGGCTTCAGTGTTTCACAGACACAATTTAGATTTTTGTTTGTAAATATGTTAAACAGAGTTTTGTTTTATTTTTTCTTTAAAATAGGAGTTGACTTGATGTTAAGTATCTGTATGACAAATTAATATTATGTGGTTTTTGTTTTCATTTGCAAAATTTTCTTTATTTGTACTTGTTATTTTATTTTTTTAATCAATTTCCATATTCAAGATGTGTTTCATAACTTTCATTATTTCTTTTTAGGATACAAGTATAATTTTTTAGAAGTTAAAAAAAAAAATTCTGAATGGAGAGATTCATGGGCTCATAATTATTTTACAGGTATAGAGCTGGTTTTTAATGCGATGCCAGCAGCCTTCGCGGAGTTAGATGTCCCACCAGTTTACGCCATGCTTTTCTTCTTGTCCATCTTCATTTGCGGGTTTATGTTTCTGGTATGTAGTTTTATGTGACATGCAATTTAGTGTTTTTTTCAAATCTTGTTATTTCCTATTCCATGTGTATGATATATCAAAGGGTTTGAAATATTAAGGGTGAAATACTTAAACCAAAAAAATAATTAATTAATTTTTTGGTATAAAATACTTTAAGAACTTGAAGCATTGTTTAGGACTTTCAAATCACTTTTAACATATCCATATAGTAGAGATTTCATCAACTGAGGTACTAAAGTTCAACAGGAAATTGCTAATAAATTAATTACATGTAACTGTAATCACAATTGACAATTATTGATTACATCTTAGATAGTTTTACATCACCATTTGCATGCAACTTTGAACGGAAAAATTAAATGGATTTGCTATTTCTTTTGTTTTTGTGTAAAATAAATGAATCTTGTATTTCTTTTCTTCATTGTGTTGCAATGTTGACAATTGTTTCTTTCTTTTATTTCAGTGTGTTGCGATGTTGACAATTGTTGATAACATCGTAGACAGCTTGACGTCGCGATTTGCACGTCTCTTTGACAGGAAGCATTGCTGTACCTTTGTTACAACGTTCTTTCTCATGGTAGCCTTGATGTGTCTGGGACTCCTCATGACCACAAGGGTATGGTTTATTTAAAAATATCTGGATTCCATTTGTTTTTGTTTTTGTTTTTTTTATTTGTTCCCTTGAGAACTAAATGATAAATTAGCTCACTGTAAATTTTCAACCACATGTATTAGTGTGTATATAGATTAGCAGGCAAGAAGCAGCATGAAAGTCCCTAAAATACATTAAGAATGTAAAAAGTTGCATGTATAATTTAAAAGAGTTGGTTAACAGGAAATAGTGGGAAAATTTTGCATGCATGCATTAATGAAACATGTTTGTGTATTTTTGTAAGGAATAGTTTCTCTCGTTTCAGGCTGGATTTTACTACATCATTCTGTTGGACCAATCCATCACCAGAATGAGATTTATCACTGTATTCATATTAGCAGTGTCTGTTATTATTGTTTATGGTGAGTTGTTTATGCTGATAAGGGGTAACATGTTCATACAGGGCAATTTTCGCCCATGTTTTATTTTTTGCCCCTTTCACCCTCGTCGCATTTGGGTGAATTTAAACGGGAGCAAATTGAAAGAAAAGGGCATTATCTCATTAAACAGAACTGTGTCTGAGCAAATTCAAAATTGGGCAAAATCGTTTGTAGGTGTAAAAGGGTGAAAATAAGACTGGGCGAAAATAACCCTGTATACAGTACTGTAATTTATTATTATACTTGTGAGAACAGAGGGACTATAGGTTTCCTTCTTGTCTTTCCATCTTAAGTTTATGTTAGTTCCTGGTTGTTGCAAACAGTTTTTCAAAAATGGAAATTTCAGAATCAATGCTCACTTGATATTCAGTTCTGTATTATATTTTAACATGTATTAAGGATATTAAATCACAGAATCATTTCTGTAAGATCTCTTCTGACCTCCATGTTTTGATTTATTTTCAGTGAAGCACACATTCAGCATAGTAGAGAGGATCCTGATCAGTATATGGTGTATCCTGGCTGCTACTGCCACAGCCGTAAGTATTGGAAAAAAAAATCATAAGGCTTCATAACCTCTCCTCCCAGTTGTTTAAAATAAAAAAATAGCTTTGATGACATTGTTGAATACAAGAGAATCCTTTCATAATAATTTAAGTGCCTGGGTAGGAAAAATTTTAATTTTGTTTTTTTTTTATAATATCCTTTTGTAAATGACAGGGGTTTTGTTTGTACCCAACTGAAATTTATCTTTTTTGTTCCTGACAGGGTTTCTGATTGTACATGTACTAATTTCTATTTATATATAATACAGGGTTTTTGGTTGTACTCGTTCATCATGTACCTGGGCTCCCCTATGAAGTACGCAGGGGAGGAGTATTCTAAGGTCTTTGACCTGGTGTCCTGGATTATCTCCGCCGTCCCCTACATCGCTATCCCCGCCGCTGCCATGCACAGCTGTGGTCTGTACGAGGGAACTTGCAAAGAGGTAATGTTGTATAGGGGAGTGAAAAGGGCTGGGCATGGAAACATAAAATATTTTTGCTTTTAACCTGACATTTTGACTTAAACAAATCATATTTTCAAATTTGACCCCCGGGGGGGGGGGGCCACAATGGGGAATCAAACTTTTACATAGAAATATATGGGAAAAATCTCACACTGAGCCAAAGGCTCAAGTGAGCTTTAGTGTGATCACATTTTCATCCTGGGGAGGTTCGTCTGTCTGTAAACCATAATTGTTCATATTTATATGGAAGCATCCCCAGGTAGTGTACATTCAAGTTTGTTCAAATCATGACCCCCGGGGGTAGGACGAGGCCACAATGGCCGACCAAAGTTTTACATAGAAATATGTAGGAAAATTCTTTTAAAAATCTTCCTCTCAAGAATAGCAAAGCCATGATTGGTCATGGAACTACTTTTGGATTTAAACTTTTCAATAATAAATTAATTTCTACTTTTTCCTTGCCACAGTGCTCAGGTGAGCGATGTGGCCCCTGGGCCTCTTGTTTCATTAAATGTTGTTTTACCTAGATAAAGCAAGATTAGAATTCAGATAGTATCATGATAATTAGGCAAGAGTAATTAATTAATCTTTGGCTGTATTGAGTAGTATTTGTAAGGAATGTCATTCACTGATATCATGTTTGAGGTCAAGTTTGTAAAGGAAGCAGATAATTTTGAAAACTTTTTGTTACAAAGAAGAACTACGAACAATAGTATTGTTCTCCCGCCTACCTCTAAGTCAATTCTCAGAAGTTAACATATTCGAATGATTTTCAAACATTTTATAGATATTTATATAAATTTTCATAAAACGGAACTTATTTGGGATACAAAAGAGAGATAACTCTATAATTTTGGTAAAACTTGTGTTTTTAGCTCACCTGAGCCAAAGGCTCAAGTGAGCTTTTCTGATCAAAATTTGTCCGTTGTCTGTCGTCGTTGTTGTTGTTGTCGTTGTCGTTGTTGTCGTCGTAAACTTTTCACATTTTCATCATCTTCTCAAGAACCACTGGGCCAATTTCAACCAAACTTGGCACAAAGTATCCTTGGGTGAAGGTGATTCAAGTTTGTTCAAATGAAGGGCCACACCCTTTTTCAAGGGGAGATAATCATGAATTTGTTAAAAATTAATGGCATTTTTAAAAAATCTTCTTCTCCAGAACCGCTGGGCCAGGAAAGATGAAACTCATGTGAAAGCATCCTCAGGTAGTGTAGATTCAAGTTTGTTCAAATCATGCCCCCTAAAACAGGGGCAAGGGTGGGGCCAAAATGGCCGATATTCCAAGTTTTACATAGGAATATATAGGAAAAATCTTTAAAAATCTTCTTCTCCAGAACCACTGAGCCAGGAAAGATGAAACTCATGTGGAATCATCCTCAGGTAGTGTAGATTCAAGTTTGTTCAAATTATGACCCCCGGGGCAAGGGTGGGGCCAAAATACCCAAGTTTTACATAGGAATATATAGGAAAAATCTTTTAAAAATCTTCTTCTCCAGAACCACTGGACCAGGAAAGATGAAACTCATGTGGAATCATCCTCAGGTAGTGTAGATTCAAATTTGTTCAAATCATGACCCCCGGGGCAAGGATGGGGCCATAATGGCCGACCCAATTTTTACATAGGAATATATAGGAAAAATCTTGAAAAAAAATCTTCTTCTCCAGAACCACTGGGCCAGGAAAGATGAAACTCATGTGGAATCATCCTATATAGTGTAGATTCAAGTTTGTTCAAATCATGATCCCCGGGGCAAGGGTGGGGCCAAAATGGCCGACCCAAGTTTTACATAGGAATATATAAGAAAAATCTTTAAAAATCTTCTTCCCCAGAACCACTGAGCCAGGAAAGATGAAACTCATGTGGAATCATCCTCAGGTAGTGTAGATTCAAATTTGTTCAAATCATGACCCCCGGGGCAAGGATGGGGCCATAATGGCCGACCCAATTTTTACATAGGAATATATAGTAAAAATCTTTAAAAATCTTCTTCTCCAGAACCACTGAGCCAGGAAAGATGAAACTCATGTGGAATCATCCTCAGGTAGTGTAGATTCAAGTTTGTTCAAATCATGCCCCCCGGGGCAAGGGTGGGGCCAAAATGGCCGACTCAAGTTTTACATAGGAATATATAGGAAATATCTTTAAAAATCCTTCTCCAGAACCACTGGGCCAGGAAAGATGAAACTCGTGTGGAATCATCCTCAGGTAGTGTAGATTCAAGTTTGTTCAAATTATGACCCCTGGGGCTAGGGTGGGGCCAAAATGGCTGACCCAAGTTTTACATAGGGATATATAGGGAAACCTTTTAAAATCTTCTTTTCAAGTACTTCAAAGCTATGATTAGTGATATTTATATGGAATCATCCTCAGGTAGTGTAGATTCTAGTTTGTTCAAATGATGAACGCCTGGAGAAGAATTTTGGGGGGGGGGGGAGTAAATTCAAGCCTGATGTGCTCAGGTGAGCGCTGTGGCCCTTGGGCCTCTTGTTTATATAGAAATCAACGGAAAATGGAAAATATTTTTAAAACATCTTTCCCCCCCGTGAAACAAAAATTCCTTCTTACAATTAATATGGACTGTCATTTTACAAATTTATGCCAAAGCTTTTTGTGTTTCACGGGGGGGAACATATGTTTATAGACAAAAAACGAAAAAAATGCTGATTTTTCACCAATTTTAAAGCTATTTACAACTAAATAACTGTATTTTATTAATTTATGTCTTTTATTTATTTGCGTAAAACATAAGAAAAGATATGAGATACATTTTATCATATTTAAGACTATTTCAAAATATGGTGATTCTTGAAAGTTCGATTTCACTAGAAAATATCGTCTACCCCCCTTTTTTCAAGAGCTGGAATTAATGATAATTTACTATCCAGCCCTGGAATTAAAATGATTAATCAATTACCATAGAACTGTTCTTTGTATTAAACAAAGATTCAATGGCCAAATTGCCATTAATATTGAATTTAATGGGTGCAAAATGTAGGCGGGAATCAAGAGTTAGAGTTCGTAGTTCTTTTTCAGTTTAAATTTTTCTTGGAAGAACTAATTTATTATTTTTCTAAGATAAGGATGGTTTTTTTAAAACAGAGAATGCAGTACATGTTCTGTGGTAATCAGGAGGAACCACGTGACTATCAAGGTTACTACCCCGCCCCGGAGCCTAGCGCACCACCGGCTTACTCCTACAACACCAACAGCTACGGACGTAACGGCTCCTCACTGTACCCAATGGACGACATCCACAAAAATGTGTACGACCCCGAAATGGAGCCCCTGGACACTCGTCTACGCTCCAGTCGTATTTAGCAATGAATGGCTGGTGTGAATCTCAATAGGGAGAGGTGGATCTAGAGAAACAAAGTGGTGTGACTCATAACCTTTCATTTACACATGGACGCAGGAATGTGGAGGTGTGGGTAGTGTTATGTTTATTTTCATACCATGGAGAAATAGTTGTGTTTCAATAAATGCTAGATCTGCAGACATTCTAAAGCCTTAAACAGGGGATCTCACCAGTGATTTATTCATTTTATACAAGGGGAAGGAAAGGAAAATAGAATGTATATATGGAACATTGTTATTTTCATGTCATTACATGTTGTATTGAATACTCTCAATATATGTTTTTTTTCTTCTTTATATTAAAATTGCATAATGCAGGAAAAGCAGTTTGGTTATAATTTTTCATAAAAAAAAATCATGCTGATATTTTTTTGAATGATTATGTTAAAATGTTAATCATGAGACTGTCAGTGCATTTATTTTTCAAAATTATGTTTTTGATCTGAAAATGCATTTTGATGGAACCTATACTGAAACTTTTTATTTTGATCAGTTTTATCTGTTTATAATTTTTATCTTTAATACGTATGAGAAAGTTCTTTTTTTTCACATAATACAACTCAAACATGTACTTTTTTCAAAACTGGTTTCATGTTTGTCAGTATGACACAAATTTGAAAATATGAATTGTTGAAGACTTGAATGAAATCAAAGTATTGTGAACTAGTCCAGTAGTCTTAGAACATTAACATTGTGTATAATTATATTCCCATCAATTTATGTTTATGAGAATGTTTTAAATACTCTTTTTATCATAATATTAAAATGTTAACTGTGGTATCGTTTTAATTTATAGTTATTTTAGAATGAATATTCTAGCAAATGAGAGTCAGAAAAATGAAAGTCACATTCATTAAGAAATTGGTTTTGAGTGGTACAATATACCCATACTGTACAGTGTTAATTCTTTGGGACAAGTACACTACATTTGTTTCCTATAAAGTATTATTATTAATAGACAGTGTGTGTTTCAACCACAGCCATTGATAATTGAAATGGCCAGTAGATGCAGCATTTGTGGAATTGAGGTTGTTATAAAGAATATAATGATAAAAATCATACAATAGAGAATATAATGGTTATATATAATAAATTTTTCATGTGGCACATGTACATGTATATTCTATTTTTATAGATTTCTGTACATGTACAAGCATTTCTTGTTCACAGGCAAGGAATGGAATGGTAATTTTTTTAATAGGAGGCATTTGGAAAAAGGAAGGGGGGGGGGTTAACTTGCAAAAATTCTTGGCTGGCAGAAGGAAACAGTTTTGTTATTGGACAGATTTTATTATTAAACTGGCACAATCTCAACATATCTTGGCTTTCTATTACTAAGTATATATTGGAAAATCTGGAGTATCTATGGGCTTTTTAATGCATGATTATATGCTTTTATCAATCCATGGGTTTTTATTGAAAACAGCTGTACCAAAAAATGCGCTGGGGTGGAAAATTAGTAATCCATATTATGTTTTACTATCTCTCAGTTTTGGGGAGTAGAATAAGAATTTTTGAAAAATGGAATAAATTGCTTGATATTGACCAGCACAGTATTTTATCAAATTTTATGTGGGGTATTTTATTTAATTTCATTGCTTTTCATGATATCAGCAATAAAAATTGTTTAATGTAACAATGGATTGTCTATCTGATAATGATTTAGAATTATTTAATAAAGCAGAATCCATGGTTTTTATAAGCAATTTTTCATATCAAAATCTTACAAGATTTTTTTGGAAAATACATACTGTAGATTATAATTTTTCACGAGATCTCATTTTCCGCGATAAAGCTACTTAGTACTAACAAGAAGGACAAATTTTCATGAAGTCTAGTTATTACTGTATTTACGTAAGCTATGCTATTACAATTTTTTTGTGTGGACAAATTTTTCGCCACCTGACAGTCTCGCTGAAAATAAAGTTCTCGTTAATATAAAGTGATTTACAATACTGTTAGTATCATGATGAATTAACTTGCAGTAAGGTGGAGATAAATGCATTATTAACAATAAGATAACCACAACAAGTAGACTCAAAATTTTCAGCATAACTCTCATAAGTAAATTCAAAATGTACAACACAGTAATTAGGTCTACCTAAATATATCAAAGTTTACAATATGATATAAGCTTTACTATCAATGAGGCTTGCCTCTAGCTTATGGTAAGATGACACGTTTATCAAATATATGTTTTGTATTTCTTGGTATTATATCAAAAATTAGTAATATTTGTCATTCTCGTCTGATTTTTACATTGTTTTCAATATTTTTTTAAACAGAAGCACACCAAAAATTGTGAAATAGGCCATTCAGAAGATCACCCACAAGGGTTATGTAAGAAACATGACCCTGTGGTATCTTGTCCAAATGCCTGGTAAGGTACCCTAATTTTTTGTGAGGAAACTTGTTTAAGTACTAATAGTTCAATGACAATTTCTTAGGAAAAATTATATATTTTTGAGGAATGTGTCATCTGACCTTAAAAAAGAAATCTTCATGAAGTTTGCCCATATTTTTGTTGCTTTATATTTGAAATCATCAGAACATAAGGGGCAAGTTTTAAAAGAAAATGTGTCATGAAGTTGGTTTGATTGTCAACTTACTCTCACTGTAGATTTATCATGAAATCATGTTTTTGTGTCATTGTGGTTTTGTTGTACAGAAGTTTTGAAATATACTCAGAAGTGTTGAAATAGTAATAAAGTTCAACAAAACAGATTCCCTTTTTGTTTTCTTGCATTTTTTTCATTTGAAAGCTGAAGAAAATAAAAATTATTATATGTGGAATATTTTGATCTCTGTATTAAAAAGCCTTTGTCCTTGACACCGAAAATAGAATATTTATTCCTCCTGCTTAAAAAGTATATAGGTATACAGTGATCGTTGTGTCTGTCTGTTACGCTTTGGGGTGCCAATCTCTTTTTCTGCAACATCTCTTTTATCACTGAATGTTTTCACAGAAACTTCGTTATAGAGTGCCACTGTGGCCTCCTATTTGACTTTTTGATCAGACACATATTTAAGTTTCCTAGAGCAAAACATGGACACGGCCATTTTTATGTTTAGTATTATATTTTTAATGGATGTGGATAATTGTATAAACGTCGAGTCTAACGAAAGTGATTTTGTACTAAATTTATTTATCAAAAAACACAATCATTAATTAATACACCAATAATAACAAATTCTTTAAACATAAGGTATATGAAATGTAAATGACAGCTTGCTATTTACTGTATAATAAACACAGATTGTATAAGATTTTTTGATGCCAATTTGTAGCTCCACAGGATAACTCTGTACAGTTTTTATACCATCACTTGAATAATTATATCCAACAAATATTTAAACGATTTTGAAGTCTAGAGAACAGGGAATTTAAGTGGTTAATCTTTTCATGTGCCTTGCAAAATGCATTTTTAATTAATTGTTTGCATGCTAACATAACGGTTTTGTTTAAAACATCTGTGCGAATATAAAGTATTAAGTGCAAAATAATAATAAATCTTATTTATTGGTTTGCTTGAAATATTTATTAGAATAGATGAAATATATTTAAAGTTAAACATACGTTAAATTTGTTTTGAAATTGAAGATTATAATTAGTGGTTTCTTTTAATCATCATTTCCGTAAAGAAAAGATCAGTGCCTTTTGAAATAACCCTATGCCATACAGGATCCCTGTGTCCTCCAGCAAAAGGAGCATTGAGATTTACGACAGCACAACTATAGTACCACCATCCAGATCCACATTGAGCTGCGCACGTGCGTCTGTCATGGTCGAACGTGAAAAAGGGATGGTTCACCACTGAGTGCGCTCTGAATGCATCATCTAGAAATAAAAAAAAAAAGCCGAGTATATTTTTTCTTGTTTCAAAATTCTATTTTCAATTAGATTATGAAACTATTTTTTAGGAAGAAATTTTACTACTGAATGAAAAGAAATAACTAGTCGCCATCTACCAATATTTCCTGATTTCTCCCCCAGAGAAAGTCTGTAACCGTCCGTTTCATCGGAGATGGAAAATAAAGAATATTGCACTTCATATGACTTTTTCTTTGTAGACTCCATTCTGATGTACAGCGAGTTGTTGTACTCCGTGGTCAACGTATGAATGGCATCGTTTCCTGAAATTTAGAATTTATTTTATTGTTTTCTTGGCGTAATTATTACGTTGTAAAATCCTCAATTAATAATCTTATACCACACAACTGTATATCGGCAAGTACACACACATTTGTATAATGCCATATGTATACCATCCACATAATTTTAGTCAACATAGCATATCATGTCAAGTCAGGATAACTATCTCCTCAAGTTTGTCGTCAAACATCTTGTTGTCTTGTACAGTCAAAATAAGCTATCGTGATTTTGCGATAGCTTTCTCGACAAAAAGAGATAATTTCTCTTCTATCGTGACTAAAAGTTATATCGTCATGTCAGGATAGCTATTGCAACAAAATGTGATAAAGCTTATATTGACTGGACAAAATATATAGTCGGTGTTTGTCGACAAACCAGAAAGTTATCATTACTAAATTTAGGTAATCCAGGTATCTGGAAGCTTCACCTATCCGGATGATTCTGATGGAGAACCAAAGCGTGCGGATAAACGAAGCTCCACGGTACATATACATGTTTAAAGAATTATATTGTACAAAAGCTTAAGTTTAGATGCTGGTATACAAGGCTTACCAAGCCAATAATTCCCTAGGACATCCCCAAAACCTTGCTTATATTCATTCCAGGTAGTGTTGAAATTTACCCGGGACATTTCTCGATTCCTGCGCTGAATAACCTGAAGCATCAATAAAAAAAAAATTAAATACATAGTTCTATGGGTTCTATATATGCGTACAATTTGATTTGAATAACAAAATTTAGCCTTACCGGAAGTAAAAGAAAGTCATAATGATTAAAATAATGCTTAGCAAAGTCCAACACGATGAAATGATATTTATTTTCAGAAAAGGAAAAAAAAGGTCATTTTTTGGTCACATTTTAAGGTACAATATATAACACAATACCGTCCAACCACCTCCATCTGTTTCCATATCACACAGAACTTTAGTGGAAACACGGGATCTGAAGGGATATATATCATAAACACCGTTTTTCCTCTCTCCACAATTATAGATGTCAAAGCAATCAAAAGGGAAAAAACAATGGATACCTATAAGAATATATATCATATTCAAATGAAAAACAAGTATACATTTATAAGTAGTAAACATTAAAAAGAAAGATAATATTGGTAAAGGAGAATATATTCTAACACTTCATTTTCGAAGGTTAAACAACATTAACTTTGTGGTTTGTCATAGAAAATAAGAGGGGAATAATTGGTCGCGAAATAATGTATATTTTCTGAAATGACTTTGGACTGATGACAAATTAAAAAACAGAAACATGTACTTAATTCAATGATTGAACTAAAGAATGATTTTTTTTAAAAATTTTCATTATAGTTTTTACCCGCTTGAACAGGGGGGGGGGATAATGATAAGGGTTCCGTCCGTCTGTCTGTACGTCCCTTTGTAACGATTCGGGGATACATATCTGTTATCTGCAACTCCTCTTATACAACTGAATAAAATCTAATGAGACAGAATGTATGTTACATACTACCATTGTGCAGCCTTTTTTATAATATGATCGGACACATATTTCGGATATCCTTTAGGGAAACATTTACCTGCCATTCTTTCTTTAACATCTACCAATTTATTTTTTGGTCCGACACTTTGGGTGTCCTAGAGCAGAACATGTTACTTGCCAATATAACCAAATTGGAGGAGGTGGTATCATTTAGTGAGCTCAGTACTCACAGTACTTGTAGTTTTAATTTCATTCCGAGTGGAATCAATACTGATTCAAACTAATATATAGTTGGGCCAATATTACACATTATTTTACCTCTACTGTAATTACTCAATATAAAATTAATACCATAAAACTGTCTATTTCCCCGAGAAGAGACTACTGCCCTGAGGACTACTCCCTGGAAAATCAGAGCTACTCCCCGAGACAACTCCCTCATGAATATTTATTAGTAATTTTAACCAATCAAAGTGTTCAGTAGGCGTAGAGATCAAGTAATCTCGAGTCTGTGACGTCATGTTATTAGCAATGTAACTTTGACGTCAAAACCTTTTGACATGCGATATCAAAATCATTCTAGCAAAATGAACACAAAGATAATTCTTCGAAATGTCAGTGAAAATACACTTAAAAAATAATTCAGTTGTTTTAGGACACGATGCATCAGTTATCAAACAATGTGTTAAAACTGCATGCATTTGTAATTATGCCTCTACAGTGTTTTTTAATGTCTGAATATCATTCTGGTAAAAAAAATTAAATCGCCTATGATTGTTTCGGTATAACAAAATAGTTATGGAATGGGAACTCGGGAAATAGCAAATGTATGGTTCCCCTCGGCAGGAAACTATTTCCCGAGGCGGCGTTCTCCATCGGGGAACCATAAATTTGCTATTACCCTCGTACAGTACCCATTCCATAACTGTATAATGAGTTATCGACGGATTTTCAGTTATTTCCTTATCCTGACAAGGAACATACGCGGGTGTAACCATTAGGCAGGGGATGTTTACTCCTTCGTGGCACCTTATCCAACCTCTCGTTTGTTAAAGGTCCGTGTTTGCAGGGCTCCAATTTTATATAGGTTGATGGGTCTCTGAGCTTAACTACTGTTTGTTTTCTCCACATATTTCATCCGAAATATCTAAGGGGAAACCAAGTTTACAGAGAAAAAGAGACAAATGTACCCTGACTTCTTTTGCCCTTCCTTGAGTTTTATCCCCCCCCCCCCCTTATCTTTAAAATACGGTGTCCAAAAGTATTTCATCATGTTTTAAAATTTGTATCGATTAAAAATGTTATTTTCAGATATACTTATTTATGTTTTGTTTGTTTATTTCTGGCAACTTTTGATATTGCTGAACGAATTATTCTAAATATTGAAATAAAAATTTAATATTATCAAGTATTTTAAATGTAAGCTAACCAATACTTAAGTGTTTACTTTTCTGCAATTTAGATACTTAAGGTGGTTCTAAGTAAAGGTTGTTGATATCCAGCGAGATGTTGTTATTCAACTTAACATGTTCACAATCATGTAAATCAACATGTTCTGCGTTCTGGCAAAATTAAAGCGATTGAGATATACCATCGCCGAAGTAAAAGTAAGAAATACAAGTATGTCATAAATTATCTGGTTAAGAAATAAAATATTTCAAGTACGTAAGAAGAAAAGCTCCCAAACAGTTTTTTTTTTTGCTAGAAAAATTTTGATAGCAAATTATTTTCGTTGTCGTCATTATTAATCTGTCACAGAGTAATCGCCTGAATTAATTGTTAATTAATTGTAAATGAGTGAGTGATAGGTTGCAGGTGCGCGGCGCAGGCGTTGTAGCCCTGTTTCCCAAGAGTGTGATTTGAGTTAGTTAGAAAGAAAGCGAGTGGACAAGCATGGATTTATAATTTGTTTATTTGTCATTTCTGTTATCGTTGTTTATTGTGCATGATAGAGTTCTGAGAGATGAAAGTGAGCATTAGATTGATTTGTGTGAGAAAGTGGGGAAAAAGAGATTTGGTATGGCCATGCCCTGGGAACGCGCGTGAGAGAGAGGAGAACAAATCTGAAAGTCCACGAGTGTGGACGTGTTTTTGTATTGTGAACATTGTGATTTCTTATAAATATATCTTGTGTTGTAATTATGTAAATAAACGATGTAAATAAAAACTATAGTCATTCATTACCAGTGCCAATGACGGGGAGGACCCCCGTCACATATTATGGTGGCCAGCGGTCGGATAGGATTAACTTAACCATGTCAACGGATACATGTACTATGGGAAATTAACTCTTGTTCAAAATTTGTGAGGAAAATGACTCGGAAAAACAAAAGACGCAATCTGTAGTGGATTATGCTGCAAATTTTAATATTAAGAAGCTCGCTACAAGTGTGTACATGGAGTCATGGACAAGCCTGAATTGCAAAAAGAAACTCTCACTAAGGAGCATTTCTTTCAAGTATTAAAAGCTGGAATCAAGAAGTATGTTTTATTTCCCGATCTTAAAACATTCGAGGAAGCTTTCAGGCATGCAAAGAGGGAAGAGTGCATGTAACAACTTCCTGGTGGATGCCCCGATGGCCAGGGGAAAAGTGGCAGCCAACTGTACGTCGTGCGGCTCTATGAGAACAGAGGAGCTGGAAAAGTCCATTGCACTTGCAGAACACACAGCAAAGGTGTCCGTGATGGCTACCGAGTTCGGAAGACTCACCTATGAGCAACAATACATTCCGCCAAACCTTCGAGGACGAGGCCATGGATTCCGCCATAGACCGGACCGAAATCCCAGGATCATCGACGGGAGACCGATCTGTAACAACTGTCGGAATGAAGGGTACCTCGCACTCCAGTGTAACGATGAGAAAGATGCCGATTCCGAAAACTAAAGTTCGCATCCAGTACTCCTGAGGACAGCCGGTGACAGAAGACAGAAATTGAAGTTTCGTCGGTCTGTGAAAAATGTTTTTGAAAATTTACCCTCAAGTTTTGTGTCGCCAAAACTGGAGGAGGTGATTGTCATTTAAATCCGCAATTTTGTTTCGCCAAAATTGGAGGAAGTGTAGAATCAAATGGTCTTCAAGTTGTGTAATAATGGATCCAGTGGGATGATTTTCAGTGAAGAATTCGTGCGTCGAGACGCAACAAAACCGGCCTGGGGAGTGACCTTTTTTGTGGAAACGGGCGACCGTGTCGACATGATTGGGAAAATGCGACTTTAGAATAAGAATTGGTAAGGAAAAAAACGGATATTGTGTATGGCAACGGGCGACCGTGTCGACATAATTGGAAAAATGCGTTTTTGTAATAAGAATTGGTGAAAAAAAAATCCGATGTTGTGTGTAATGCTTTTATTGCCCGGAATTTCCAGTATAATTATATTTTTAACTTTGATATTTTGGAAGACTCTACTTGATATATTGATGATACAAATAATTCTTTGTCTATAAATGGTGAGTGTAAATCATTTAGTCCTGATGCAAAGAAGTAAGTGAGAGTGTGCAGGAGGCATATGTAATTATGAGATTTTATTCAGTTAAAGAAATAACTATTTGAAGTGTATATATGTAGGTTGTGTACATAACGTATATCAAATTCTAAAATGAACGTTTGTTTAAAAAAAATGTAAAGATAAAACGCAAAAATTTAAGAAAAAAAAGGTAAAACATGAAATGTGTATGCATGTTAAACTATTTTGTTATTTCTGTGTGTAAGTAAGGTCTTTTTATCTATGAATGTGTGATTCTTGTTAGCGATATCAAATTGTCATTATCAGTCTACTACATGTAATGTTATTAGTGTGTCGGGACGCCACTCTTAAGAGGGGAGGTATGTCACAGAGTAATCGCCTGAATTAATTGTTAATTAATTGTAAATGAGTGAGTGATAGGTTGCAGGTGCGCGGCGCAGGCGTTGTAGCCCTGTTTCCCAAGAGTGTGATTTGAGTTAGTTAGAAAGAAAGCGAGTGGACAAGCATGGATTTATAATTTGTTTATTTGTCATTTCTGTTATCGTTGTTTATTGTGCATGATAGAGTTCTGAGAGATGAAAGTGAGCATTAGATTGATTTGTGTGAGAAAGTGGGGAAAAAGAGATTTGGTATGGCCATGCCCTGGGAACGCGCGTGAGAGAGAGGAGAACAAATCTGAAAGTCCACGAGTGTGGACGTGTTTTTGTATTGTGAACATTGTGATTTCTTATAAATATATCTTGTGTTGTAATTATGTAAATAAACGATGTAAATAAAAACTATAGTCATTCATTACCAGTGCCAGTGACAGGGAGGACCCCCGTCACAAATCTTTGTAATTATATACTAGTACTCGAAATTTTTCTTAATGTAAAAAGGTCATGTTATATTCCAAGAAAAAGAACAAATATACATGTATTCTTACCTGACTGAGGTACCGAAGGAACATTCTGCAACTGTAGTTTTGTGGCATTCTGATCCTCACGGAAATCATCTAATGATTCATCCAATGTTTTATCCAGTTTCTGGTTCTCGGATTGTATATATATATTGAATAGAGTTAACTTTGTTTTCTAAAGAAACAAGCTCCTCTCTTAAAATTTCAGTTA